GAGGGAGATGTCGCCCTTTGCCATCAGTCGGCTTTGTAGGACAGGGTCCCTGAGCCCCAGGACGACGCGATCGCGTAACGCCTCGTCCATGTCTGTGAAGCCGCACATGCCTCCCAGATTCCGCAGGTCTGCCACGAAATCACTAATGCTCTCACCCGGTTTTTGGTCTCGCTGGTAGAAGTCGTGCCGCCTGATGAGGGTGGGCACGGCGGGAGCATAGTGGCCTCGTAGCAGCGGTTCGAGGTCGGCCCAGTCCATCGCCTTCACGTCCTCGGGTTTCGCGAGGGCTTTTGCCATCTTGAACACTGCGGGCCCGCAGTGCGTCAGGAAGACGGCCCTTTTTTTCTGCCCGTTTGCATCCTTGAGGTTGCTACTCTCTAAGAACATCAGGAACCGATCAATGTATGATTCCCAGTCCTCAGTAGCTTGGTTAAAGGGTGCGGGTGGTGCGATGCTGGCCATCTCGTCGATCTTGCTTCTCTCGGTGTCACGTGCTCAGTGGGTATCAGTTCTGCGATCCCACCTTCGTCGCCAGTGTTAAGTTCGCCGTAGGAAGGAAGGCTCGGGAGTCAGTGACCGTTTTCAGCTCTTTATTTGGTCCCGAGATCGACTCGGTGCGGCTAGAGCAGACGGCGGCTTTTATAGAACTTGCCGGCCAAGCCGCGGCCAATGACACCGCTTTGAATCTCCCGCGATCGGTTTCTTCCAATCGCGGGGATTCGCGGCGGGCCAATCAGTGCGGCTCGCTCGACCAATCGGGTCACCGCGCGTCTTAGCCAATCAGAACGGTTATTTACAAGAATGCTAATGTACAGTACAGAACAGAACGTGAGTTCAACTTTTGAAATATGCGGGAAAGATGGGAGGGATCTTAAATAGCTTCTGCTGTTTAATTACATTGAAGGAGGAATAAATAGACAGAAAATGCATGGTATTGTGTGATTTTTTTTTAATGGGGATATTCTGTAACAGAACAGCTATCAGGTAATTGAAATAATTTACATTTTTGTCTTGCTTCACTTTAATTCACTTTAATAATCCTGACTGAGGAAGAACTATCTACTGCAGTGAAATCTTTCCCACTTGCTACATTACTTGATTCAGTGTCTGAATTAACTAGTTCTTCTCAGTTACAATTTTTTGTGACACTAGAAAAATAGTGATATGGCCCACAGTCAGCAGAATTCCAAGAATTTAGCTACTGTTTAAATCCTGGGGATGTAACACAAGGTTTCCCCCTACAGCTTTGGAAGTAGAAATAGACTGATTCATGACTCTTCATACAATCACCGTAGATAAGTAAAAGTTTTATTGGTATTAGAAGAAGACAGTTTGAAACAGAACGATTAGCTCCATTTCAGATAACAGATAATCAGAGTTGGAAGGGACCTTGTAGATCATCTAATCCAACCCCTTGTGCAGGAGACCCTACACCATTTCTGACAAATGGCAGTCCAATCTCTTCTTGAAAGTCTCAAGTGATGGCGCTCCCACAACTTCCGAGGGCAAGCTGTTCCATGGGTTGATTGTTTTCACTGTCAGAAAGTTTCTCCTTATTTCCAGGTTAAATCTCTCCTTGTTCAGTTTCCATCCATTATTCCTTGTCTGGCCTACAGGAGCTTTAGAAAATAGCTTGACCCCTTCCTCTCTGTGGCAGCCCCTCAAATATTGGAAGACTGCTATCATGTCTCCTCTGGTCCTTCTCTTCACTAGACTAGCCATGCCCAGTTCCTGTAACCATTCTTCATATATTTTAGTCTCCAGTCCCCTAATTTCGAAGTGTCCCCTTTGCAAGCAGACAGGCTTTGTCTCCCTCTGGGCAAAATGTGTGAAGCAGAGCCAGGCAGAGGCAGAGGCGATCCCAACACACCGCCCACTCTGTCCCACTGTCGCTCGCTTGCCTGCGGCTGCACCAAATAAGCACCCATGCAGGGTGTCGGGATCACCTGGCTTCCTCATTCCCCATGCCTCTGCCTTCACTTGCTGCCGGTGCTGCCACACAAGCCTCCCAAGAGCCTCCCATGAGCCAGGCAGCCTCATAGCAAATCCGAATCACCTGTCTTCTCCCCATCCACCTCTGCCTCCATGCTTGGACTTATCAGTATTTGTGCTGCGCCAAGGAGCCAGGGGGCTGCAGCTGCTGCCGGACACCATCAGCCCCCACACACTTGCCATCTCTCTTGCTGGCCATGCCCACCCCCAGGCTTATTATCAGAGTAGGGCTTATACTAGTCCTTCCCCAAAAAACCCAGGCTAGGGCTTGTTTTGGGGGTGGGTCTTATTTTTGGGAGACACGGTATATTTGGTTGCATCAAAAATACATAAAAAATCTTTATTGCATACTTTAAAACCTGGGATTTTTGCTCAATTTTTTCACCTTTATCCACATAAAAATAACATTTTTCAAGTAACAAAGCACAAAATCCCCTTTGGGCACAGTTAATAAATCAAAGGCTATTCTGTTCTGCAGGACCTTTGATAGGGAAGATTTCATCCTGCAGAGTCCAAGATTGTATTAAAAACAAATTTGAACTTTGCTGATATTTCTTTTCAATTTCTGCCATAGACAACCTGGTGTGTTAGAATCTTAAAAATTTATGGAAACTCAATGTTCACAGTTTTATAATAGAAACTCTTCCAGAAATTATTCTCCAGGTTTTATTGACAGAACTATTTAAATTTAATTTTTTATTTATTTATCAAGGCAATTTGGGGGCGCTCTAAGACATTGGGATGCAATAATCTAAGTACATGTTCTTATCTGTCCTGAAGGTAAGGTTTTGTAAACCTAGTTTCCACAAATATAAAATAAATGGGATGTTTTTATCCATAGTATCAAAAAGTCTGTAAGTGCCTCTGCCACTGTTCTGCCAGGCTAGCAGTTTACCATCTCCACTGCTGCTCCACTGCCAGTTCCCTCATCACTGCTGCTCCATTGGCTCCTGGGCTATACTCACTCTTCCAGGTTGTGCCATTGTTGGCTTGCAAACTCATCCAGTTCTTTGGATATAGCACCACTCAGCTTGCCACTCAGCTGCCTGGTACTCAGCTACTCTTGCAGTTTGCCATTCCTCCAGACACTACTGCTCACTGCTAAGCCTTTTTTTTTGTTGCTTTTTTCTCCTTTTTTCTTTTCATTCTTTTCTTTTCTGCATCTTTTCCCTCCTCCAATCCTCCTTCTCCCTCTTCTTCTGCTCCCTCTTCTCTTCCTCTCCTTCCCTTTTCTTCACTGAGTAGAATAAATTTGTATTTGTCACAACGCCACATTTCCTCCATCACTGCTATTATCTTCTGTTTTCCTGAGCTTGCCTGCTCTGCTAGAATGTAATATGTTGGAGGACAACCTGACTATGAAGATAGGCCTCTGTAAAATTACAGAATTAATCCATTCCTTTGGATTTATAGTATGCATTTATATTAACACTGTAGTAATGACCTAATGACTGCTTTACTTTAGAAAAAAAGATCTGGTTCTTCTACAACTTTTCTGTTCCAATTCTCTATGTAAACTACTTTTATCTTTGTATTTTTAAATATAAACTTATATTTTTATCATATACTCCTGGTGATTTTGCAACACTAAATGAAGTTTATTCAACAGTTAGAAACAGTACTGTGACATTGTTTAAGAGATCAAAAAAATTACAAGAAGCTTATAAAGAAAAAGTAGGCAGATACAGTAGTTCACCATACCTTATTGTCAGGCATGACCACATGTGAAGGTTCACTGATTTGTTGCTAAAATCTGCATACAGACAGGAGGTTGAACAACTAGCCTTGTGGTGCAACCAGAACAATCTTGAACTAAATACACTCAAAACAATAGAAATGGTGATCGATTTTAGGAGAAACCCTCCTATATTACTACCTCTTACAATATTAGACAACACAGTATCAACAATAGAGACCTTCAAGTTTCTAGATTCTATCTTATCTCAAGACTTAAAATGTACACCTAACATCAAAAACATCATCAAAAAGCACAACAAAGAATGTTCTTTCTGCGCCAACTCAGAAAACTCAAACTGCCCAAACAGCTGCTGATTCAGTTCTACAGAGGAATTATTGAGTCTGTCATCTGCACCTCTATAACTGTCTGGTTTGGCTCTGCAACCAAACAAGACAAACACAGACTTCAACGGATAATTAGATCTGCGGAAAAAACAATTGCTACCAACCTGCCTTCCATCGAGGACCTGTATACTGCACAAGTCAAAAAAAGGGCTGTGAAAATACTTACAGACCCTTCACATCCTGGACATGAATTATTTCAACTCTTACCCTCAAAACGACATTATAAAGGCACTACACACCAGAACAACTAGACACAAGGACAGTTTTTTCCTGAATGTCATCACTCTGCTAAACAACTAATTCCCACAACACTGTCAAATTATTTACTAAGATTGTATTACTATTATTCTTCTTATCCTTTCTAGTACCTTTCTCTTCCCACTTATGACTATAACCATGTTACTTGTATCTTTACAATTTATATTGCTTTGTTTCCTAATATTATTTGATTGCTTATTAGTAACCTATGACTATAACTAAGTGTTGTATCTTATGGTTCTTGATGAATGTATTTTATTTTTTCTTTATGTACACTTAGAGCATATGCACCAAAGACAAATTCCTTGTGTGTCCAATCACATTTGGCCAATAAAGAATTCTAAAAGCATATGCACAGAGATCGCCTCAACTAATGGTCATCACTTGGTTAGAGTTAGATAAGAGTCAACGGCAATCAAATGGGTTAGATTTAATTCACTTGTGAATACGTAAGGACTCTAAACTGATAGGGTAACAGAAAATTTACTCTAGAAATAGACAGTGTATATGAAAGTCCAATTCAACTTAAAATTTTAACTGATGATAGAATTTTGAGTCCAGCCTTGGCTGAAAAAAATCAATTTTGTCATTAAAAATAAAAACTAAAAAAAGGAAAATAAACGATATGCAGACACAGAAAATATTTGCAGAACTAAAATAATATTTACCTTAATGATATAATATAGTCAGGATAATAGTTACTTTTGTACTGAAACCAAGATCTTGAGTCATCTTCTATCACGTTACTGTCCTTAGTTATTGAAAAGAGGCCAAATGAAGCAAATCGTCTTACTGATATTTGCTGAAGGTTGGCATTCTCCAAGGGCTTTTGCTTCAAAACCTATAATGAAAAACATCATCTCAAACTAAGGAAGCTGCAACATGTTTTAATAAACTTGAAAACATACTGTAAAATCAATTAACATTAGTTTGAAAATGTGTTGAATTATGTTCATTAAAGAGAGAATAATTGGATTGTCCAGAATCTGTATCATTCACCATTTCTTCTGAGGAGCAATATGATGATTGTTTTGTTAGACAATGTCTTTCATGGTCTGTTTGAAATATACAGTACATACTGGTAACAGAATAATAGAGTTAGAAGAGACTTTGGAAATCTTCTAGTCCAACCCCCTGATCAAGCAGGAAACCCTATAACATATCAGAGACACAGTTGCCCAATCTCTTCTAGAGTTATTTACAACTTATATTTCATACAACATTCTACAAGTGAGTGCTGCTCCATATATTACAGCATGCCTTACAATAGGAAGCAACATCTGGCAAGAAGGAAGGAAAGCACCAGTTTGGTGAGTGGTTAAGGTGCTGGCCTAGAAACCAAGAAACTATTTTTCTTCCATCTTAGGCATGAAAGCGAGCTGTGTGTGACTTTGGCTAGTCATTTTCTCTCAGTCCAACCTACCACACATTGTTGTTGTTAAATGTATTTGCATCCTTGAGCTACTTATAAAAGGAATAAAAGCAGGATGAAAAAAATTCTAAACAAATAAACTACAGGATGAGAATCAGCTATTACACTGACCAGTATTTGCTTCATGGAACAGGTACACAAACTTACAATACCTTTCTATTCTTTGCACATACTGGTAATAGCACAAAACACTATTGCACAAAACACTATTGTGTATTGCACTGTAATAATATATTATTATGTCTGTCACACACTTAGACTGGATTTGGTATTTTTTATCCATCAAGTCTTTCTGTTCGGATATCCAGCCGTTGTACATCGATGGTGTTTTGGTAGAACAGGTGGCAGAATGTAAGTTTCTAGGTATCACCCTGAAACAAGATCTAACATGGGGGGCAAATACTTTAACCCTAGAAAAAAAGGCTCATCAACGATTGTATTTTTTAAGACTTTTAAGATCACAACAACTGCCAGAGAGTCTGTTGGTTGCCTTTTATCGAAGCTCTATAGAGAGCATTTTATCCTATTGCCTCTGTGTGTGGTTTAGGAGTTGTACAGAGGCGGAGAAAAGGGCACTCCAAAGAGTGATAAAAAGGGCACAAAAGATCAGCGGATGTTCTCTTCCCTCATTGGAGGATTTGTACAACATGGAATGTAGAAGGAAGACACAAAAGATCTTGAGAGACCCTTCACATCCAGGCCACTTGTTGTTTGAGATCCTACCATCAGGAAGACGATATAGAGTGCTGAAAGCCAGGACAAGTAGATTTAAACATAGCTTTTACCCAAGTGCTGTGATCAGGTTAAATGCAGAGTTATGAATCTGGTGGTCTTAACATATATATATCCTGGTTGTATAGTTTTTAACTGTTATTTGTTTCAATTTGTTTTATATTGTTATTTGTATATGTCTTTTGGTGTTGTTCAGTTGTATGTTGTGAAAGAGCACCTTATTTCGTTGTTCTCAGGTTCTGAGTACAATGACAATAAATTTATCTTATCTATTTCCCTAGTAACTAAAATTGGCAGATGTTTCAGGTTTCGTCACTTGTCACAGGATGTAAACTGTTCCAAGTAAAGCTGCCTTCTGCAATTGACTGGTGGTGATTTTGTCAATGCCCAAGGTGTTCAAGCAGTGCTCCAGATGTTTTGGAAATGCAACCAAGGCATCTATAAACTATTGCTACTACCTTTGCTTTCTTTTGCCACCGTCATTCTATATTATTATTATTATTATTATTATTATTATTATTATTATTATTATTATTATTATTATTATTATTATTATTATTATTATTATTATTATTATTATTAATTATTATTATTATCATCATCATCATCATCATCATCATCATTATTTCAAACTGCAAAGTTAAGCCCTTTCATTGTAAAAAGCAGGTGTGATAGCAAGTTTCAGAGCAGGACATCCTCCGACACAGAATCGCTATTCAGACCAGAAGCAGAGTTGGTCCAGTTCAGTGTCAAGTCAGACCCATTTCCCTCGGGGCTTATTCAAATATAAAAAGAATAACGCAGACTGCCAGGATCTCCCTAAAGAGATGCAAGAGCTGTATAACAGACAGCAAGAGAACCGTCGGTTCTGCTCCTTTGCCCTGGCGGCCAGTTATTAGCTTGCAAGAAAGCCGTTGGGGGCGTCATTCGAGATCAGCTTTTACCGCCTCATCAGTGAAACAGAGGCAACAAAATAACTTATATTCAAAGGAAGCGAAGCGAAACCATTGCCCATCTGCAATGCTAGAGAAATGGCAGGGGATGCGACGGGGTTCCTGGGGATGGGGGGGGGGGGGACAACAAGCAGCTTTGGCCGTTGACTTTTCGTACCTGTCTGAGAAGTGTCCAGCGGGCTTTGGCGGCTGCCTGCTTGCTCCTTTTCCCGGCGTCTCCCTCTTGGTTTTCCGCTTGAGCCCTGTCAGCTGGAGCAGGGCAAGCCCTCAGGAAAGGTTCTGCAGCCATGCTTATGCCAGCTCTCCCTTCTTCCTCTGCTCTAAACTCGAACTTGAACGAGCGCGCCAAGAAATTAATCGTGAGGTGAATGGCGGGGGCAAAGGGAATCCAGAAAGAATAACCCTAAACTTACTCGGGGACCGGTCGCCTTCCCAAAAAGTAGCGACCGAGGCACAAGAAACAGCCTGGGAGCTGGGAAGCTTTTGCCCGAACCTTATTCAGCAAGAGTTGCTTAAAACCTCCCATTTAGCATCTAGGAGCATGAGAAGAGGACGGAATCATCTTTGATGCGGGCAAGGAAGCGGCCGTTTGACAGTAGCACGGCTACGGGAAAAGGATGCAGTTAGTGAAGGATTATTGCCTGTTGCGAAGAGCTAAGCTCGTCTCTTTTATTGCCACTGCAACGGAAAGCGTTGCCCGATTTTTAACCGAACTTTTTTTTAACGTTTAAAAAAAGAAAGAAAGAAGAAAAAGAATGCAGACCTGGTCGCGAATCGGGCGGCGTTTTAGTTGCCCCAGACCAAAATGGAGACTTCGCATTTTATTTGAGGGCACAGAAAATGGCCATGTTGATAAAGGGCAAAGCGAAGACTCAGGGAAACCTTCGGCTTCTGCCATCTTGGTTGTGGGCAAGCATTGCGGTGTACGCAGAGGAAGGTTTCAGTCGCTGGTTTAATAAGTCATCGTCGTTCGCCTTTTCTATTGCTGCTTGTCTGTGATCAATGGTAAGTTGACTGTCGCTTTCCCTAAGATTCCTGTTTCATTCTGGATTGTCAAGTTTCCTCCTTGACAGAGTGATTAAAAGGTAAAAAGTTGGTCGTAATATTCCTATTGATTTGATTAATAAATTCCAGTGGTTAGAGATAACTGCTGCTTTGCTTTAAAACAGTTTGAAGCGAGAAATCAAGCCAAAAGAAGGCTCGATTTCTCCCGGTATCTACGAATCGAACTGTTGTGATAAAGCATATTTTCAACTGTAATGTAAGGGCAAAAAAGTTGAGACTAGATATGCAATTCTAAAACGCTGTACTGCACAATGAACTGCTATAGTAAGGGATATGTATTAAGAGTCCACTAAATTCATCTAGGCTTAACTTTGAGTAAGCATGAAATACTAGTCCCAAAGGTGCTTTTTCAAGAGGCAACTGGACTTT